CATTAATATCACACATAAGTAAAATTTTCCTGAAGATCCTTCAAAAACAGTTGCAGCAGTACATCGACAGGGACTGCCAAAAAGTCAAGCTGGATTCAGAAAAGGATGTGGAACGAGGGATATCATTGCTAAAGTCAGATGGATCTTGGCTGAAAGCAGAGAATACTAGTAAGATGTTTACCTTGTTTTATTGACTATGCAAAGGCATTTGACTGTTTTGATCATAATAAATTATTGATAACATTTCAAAGAATGGGAATTCTGGAACACATAATTGTGCTCATGTGTACATAGACCAAGAGGCAGTCATTAGAACAGAACAAGGGGATACCGCATAGTTTAAAATCAGGAATGGTGTGTGTTAGAGTTGTATCCTTTCACCATAGTTCGTTCATCTGTATGCTGAGCAAATAATCTGAGAAGCTGGACTATATGAAGAAGAACGGATTGGAGAAAGACTCATTAACACCCTATGTTATGTAGATGGCACAACCGTGCTTGCTAAAAGTGAAGAGGACTTGACGCACATACTGATGAAGATTAAAGACTACAGCCTTCAGTATGGGTTACATCTCAATATAAAGAAAACAAAAATTCTCACAACTGGACCAATAAGCAACATAATGATAAACGGAGAAAATATTGAAGATGTCAAGAATTTCATTTTACTTGGATCCACAGTTAACACCCATGGAAAGAGCAGTCAGGAAATCAAAAGCAAATCTGCTGCAAAAGACCTCTTTAAAGTATTAGAAAGCAAAAATGTCATCTTGAAGACTAAAGTGCACCTGACCCAAGCCTTAGTGTTTTCAATCACCTCATATGCATGTGAAAGCTGGACAATGAATAAAGAAGACTGAAGAAGAATTGACACCTTTGAATTATGGTGTTGGCAAAGAATATGGAATATACCATGGATTGCCATAAGAACCAACAAGTCTGTCTTGGAAGAAGTATAGCCAGAATGCTCCTTAGAAGCAAGGATGGCAAAACTAGGTCTCACATACTGCGGACTTGTTAACAGGAACAATCAGTCCCTGGAGAACGACATCATACTTGGTAAAGTAAAGGGTTATTGAAAAAGAGGAAGACGCTCAACGAGATGGATTGACACAGTGGCTGCAACAATGGGCTCAAGCATAACAACGATTGTGCGGATGGCTCAGGACCGGGCAATGTTTTGTTCTGTTGTATATAGGATCGCTATGAGTCTGAACCGACTCGATGGCACCTAACAACAACAATGCACTGCTGGTGGGAATGAAAAATGGTACAACCACTTTGGAAAATGATATAACACTTCCTTACAAACCTAGAAATAGAAATACCATAAGATCTAGCAATTCCACACCTAGGAGTACACCCTAGAGAAATAAG